CATCTGGATGCAGGTCTCCTACTTTCTTCTCAGTGAAGTTCTTAGACCTCTTAAATTTGCATGTCCATTTTCCCCCCTTCAGTTAGAGGAACTTCTGGCCTTCATTTTATCAAATATGTCTCTCTGCACCTTTCTCATCGCTTGGCAACTTTGCTAACAGACTCACTGAATTGCTCAGCAGCATCTGACAAGCGCCTTGGCTCTGTTCACTCTTTCTTCCCTTTTCCTTGTTTGCTCCCGAGACACAGTATTTCAGTCCATCTCTGTGAAGTTACTGATCTTTCCTCCTCTTGACCCACTCAGCTCCTGGGACCTTTTCCGGAGACCTCCCCAGTTCAATGATGCTTCTCAAGTGCTGATTGAGTTCGGTTCTTTTCTGTATGGCTCCTATCTTTTTGCTGCGTTTCTCGCATCGCTTGTACATCCTCACTCGATTAGATTTAGTCATCTGTGGTCTCTGTTAATACTGGACATCTTTTTGGTTGTTATTTCAAAACTTCTGTTAGGAGGCTCACGATCTGCATCTCTTCTGGGTCAGGTGCAGGAGTTTCATTTCTGTCTTTTCATTATGCCAGGATCCTCCGTTTCTTTGTGTACCTGATCGTGCTGCTGATGGTAACAAAGAGTTTAGACTTGGCCGTTTGGGGAAAACAGTCAGCCACCCCTCTAGGACTTTATCTCAGCTTCATGCAGAAGAGGTGGAAATCACTCATCCATCAACCAAGGTACAGATTCTATTGCTGCTCAAATCTTTTTTAACAGCAGTGTCTGTTCTGGGGATGGCATGTGCCTTGGGTCCTCTCAAACTCCCTGAGCATACATCTTGAAAGCCTTTAATCTCTTGCTACGACTGGCATCTGCCTATGAAATGACATTCCAGTGTGCCACTGGGACCGCACTGTTTGCAGTGGCTACCAGTCCTGTTAGTGCTGGGGCAGGTAAAAGACTCAGTGCCGGAATAGACGGAATATAGAACACACCGTCACTCAGTGCCAGAATAGATGAAATATAGAACATGCCGTCACATTCTTGTTTCTGCTCAAAGAACTCCTGGTAGATGTTTTCTCTCAGTGGTATGGCCCTGAGTTGGACACTATGGGAAGTGGGGGGGGGCACGGATGAGTGTGCAGGAAGCTGCCAGCTTTCCTGCCCCCTGGATCTGGAATCCTTTCCTGATTGTATATATTAGGGTGCTGAGACCTCAATTGGCCTCCAGAATTCTAAAAACGTTTTCCTCTCAGCTTGGTGTCTCTGTGGGAGAAAGCGTCCCTCCGTTTTACTGTTTAATTGTGAGAACAAAAATTATACTTTCTATCGGAAATGCTTCTCCATCTCATAGACGTCTCATGACCTTTCACACCCCAAAGCCCTGGGCTTTGATCTCTCTCACATTTATCACGTCTGCCACCATAGTTCCCGTTGGCACGCTTCATCTCTCTCTCTCTTCTAGATTAGGGGACACTAGAGAGAGGGAAGAGGAGCGCGAGAGAGTTGTAAGTTGTAACTGAGAAATGAACGAATGAATGAATGGTGAATGAATGAATGGTGAATGAATGGATACATCAATGAAGTGAAAGGTCTTCACATACCAGGACAAGCAATGTAATGAACTGAAGACAAGGAGTCAAGAATAGGTAAGTCAGGGACCTAAAGGAAGACCTAGAGAAATCTGACAGACTTAAAGGAACAGGGAAAAAAATCACAATTCTATTTACATCTGACAAGGCCTGTGAGTGTTGTAATTCACACGTTTTTATTTTAATTGACATGGAAATATGAGCACTGCCGCTCTAGAGTGCTTTAAAATCAAATCTATAGCAAGCAAGTGGTTCGCTGGAAGATTACTCGCCTGGGAAATGCTAAAACACATTGACATAAAACAATAAACTTATTGGACTCTCACAGATTTACGTGAACAACTGCATGCTGACCACCCATCCTCGGAACTGGGGTCCTGTTTTATTTCCCATTTCCTGGTGCTGAGAACTAAGACTCGTTTAAGAAATACTGCCAGTGGAAACGGGAGGAGGGAGAAAACACCCGTGGTGTTCTTTGCGCCCGTGTCAGGCATCAGTAACAAAACTGTATCCCGGGACTCAGGGCCACCAAAAGCACATGGGAACCACCTGACAATGAACAGTGACCCGGCTCTTTGACCATGAGCCGTGACTACCCTGATGTAGCTTGCTAAGCCTTGGGTGGCAGATCTCCTGATAGCTGGAAAGGACTCGATTTGGAGGCGTGGAGGGGGTGTTGATTTTGTTTAACAATAGCACATTTTTACCCTCCGTAGCCAGCGCTATGATACGGCTCTGGAGGAGACCTGCGTTATTAGCCTGATGCATGGAAAAGGTGACATAAAACACGGGGAGCAGAAGCAATCACTCCACGTCTGACGAATACCAGAGACAAAAGAGCAGATCTATACCTAAGCACCTTAAGGCTCAGGAACTAATAACACCTCTAAGGGTCTTCATTGCCGTTATTGTTTCCAATCTGGCTAACATTTGGCCTCTCTTATTAGAACGGAAATGTTATCTGTAGTTGCTATCCTCGTCCATATTTCAAAATGTTGTGTTAAGAGCAAGATATGAATACATTAGAGACTCCTTCGGTTCTCGCAGAGGGAAAGTTCAAATGCAAGAGGCTCTATAATAAAGCCTACCCAGATATAACAAATGGGGCTGTCAGATTGATTCTCACTTGAGACACCAACTGTAGCTAATATTACTGGATATGCAGATGTTTTCTGTCTCTTTCTCTCAGACCAAAAAAGCGCGCGGGGCGCAGGGGGGGGGGTTGCACGTTTAACTGGAATAATGATAAATTGGTATTAATATGAAAAGCCTCTGCTGCAGTGTGACAAAGAGTCCATAGGTCAAGGCTGGAAGCACATGTGAGCAACAGAATCCTCACCTCTGCGCAGACTGGTCTCGGGAATTTATGAGCTGAACTCTTCACTCCACCCGAAGACCACACAGCATCCTTGTCGCAAAGAGAAAATGAGACCCCGGACTGGACTAAAACTTCCGCTGGGAGGGAGAAGATCCCCTGCGGCGTCTGAAACCCACTCCATGGTGCTGACGCACACAGAGATGAGGGGCTTCGTGAAGAATCAAAGAGCTCACACAGTTCTGTCGAGGGCTAGACAATACGAAAGCGGATCCCGACCATTCTTTAGCCCCATGCATGCCGGGAGTCCGCGCTTGCGCTCAGCGGGTCTTGCCGTCCCCGGACGCACCTCTGGTCTCCTTCCTGGGACTCCATGCCCAGTCACCTCCACATCTGGTTTCACTTCGGCTTCCCCAGCCTCTCACCTCCTTATGCACTTGTGTGCATGCTCTCTGTCAGTGGAGGCATGTAAAGAGACCTCCACGGAGTTTCTTCTCCATCAGAAAGAAAAGATAAGGAGGAATGGTGATCGGAGGTAAGGCAAGGTGTCTGATGAGGCTTCTCCTTGATAGGCGCTAGCTACTTCCAGGAGAACACTGGGGAAGCCCTGACCAGAGTCGCTTGGGAGCCATCAAATGCTCTCAGCAGTTCTTAGGAGTCTGTAAATGTGGAGATAGCCTTTTTTTTATTGTGCTTTGGAGAGTTCGCTTTGGACAAACAGTTTAGTTCTGGGGAGTGGATGGGGCAGGGGGCGGGGAGAGTTAATTCATCTGAAATTGCATGCTATGCTATCCAGGCTGCGCGTGAATACACAGAGCCGAGGCTAGGCCTCACTGACTCTGCGCCTAGTAAAAAACGGAAGTCAGAGACTCACAGGAAGTGATCAGAATGTTTACCCATCAGGCTTAACATGGCCACACACTTTTCCGTAGCAGTGATTTGGGCAGTTGTAGCAGCCAGCCTCCAGATTATGCTGATTGTGTTCTCGAGCTCAATAAGAGACAACCTCTCCTCTTTGTCCAAGTGGATTTCTTTCCTCAATTCCGGATGACATAGCATAACTGTTTGGTATGACCGAAGATCACCACACCTCTGCAATAGCAAGCCAGATTTCCTGTGGCAGGGAAGCCAGCTGGCCTGGTGGGCTGTTAGGGAGGGTTCGGTAGCCAAGGGAGCTCAGGTGCAAAGGATGCAGAACTTGCCAGACAGGCTTTAACCCTCAGAAACCAGCCCTCTTCACTGCCTCGGGCAAACTCGGACCATCGCTAGGGTGTGTTTCCAGACTACAAGATTCCAGAGTCAAGTTTGTTACATTCCGACCCATCCTCTCTGCTGTCCAGCCCTGGGAAGTCTTGCTTCGTCCTCACTGGCTTGGGGCTCTAATATCCTAAGTGCTAAGGTAGAACTCCATCTTTCCAAGATCTCCCAGCCTTTCTTTCCCTTCCAGGGTACCTTGAGTTGATTGCCTTTACCTGGGGCAGCTTTACATAAACAATGGCTCACATCATCCTATGAGCTGGTTGATGGGAAGCTAGGGCCCCTCTGAGTTTCCTGAAGTCTGGACCATTAGCTTTCACCAGCTAAGACCCAGGTAGTAGAGTTCCTCTTCTACCAAGTGAAGACAGCGCTATCGCCCTTCCCCTCGGCTGTAGTTGACTCCAGCAATGTTGCGACTGCCACCCATGTCCCGGCTGCAACATCTAATAACCATGACCTTGAGGATGCTGCTGTGGGGACAAACTGGTGTGATTCAAGTAAAACTCTGAAAATGGAGTTTGCCATGTAATAAGCTCAAAATAAATGTTGACCGCTATTAGATTTCCTTGACTTTTTGTAGAGGATAAGAAGATCATTAGTGAAACTGCTGTGTGGGTCTTGTAAGAATGTAGGTCCTAATGCTCTGTTCCGTGAAGGTTTATGCAAGTTAAGCTCATGGGTTCCTGACAGTGCAGGAGACTTGTGGTAGTTTGAATATAATTGGCCCCCAAAAGCTCATAGGGAGTGGTACTATTGGGAGGTGTGGCCTTGTTAAAGTAGGTGTGGCCTTGTTTAAGGACATGTGACACGGTGGGGGCGGGCTTTGAGGTCTCTTTTGTTTATGCTTCGATAGGTGTCGCCTGATCAAGACGTAGCCAGCACCATGTCTGCCTGCATGCCGCCATGCTCCCCGCCATGATGATAATGGACCGAACCTCTGAAACTGTAAGTGAGTCGCCACCTCAATGAAATGTTTTCTTTGTAAGAGTTGCTGTGGTCACAGTGTCTCTTCTCAGCAGTAGAAACCTAAGACAAGATTCTTTGTCACCGACTCACTTAGGACGTCATCACAGATGGTTCCCAAGACGCCTTTGAAGAGAGGGTTTCCCAGGACCATGGAACAGAAAACGCAGTTCTTGCTTCCGTAAGGCTTTGACCAAAAGTGTCCCGATCCTCACCTTTGTGGGCCCGAACAAGTGTCATTCCTGTTCACACTGGGGACAAGAGTCAAGGCCTCCTGAATACAGATCTAAAGCAACCTAGTGGCAGGGAGAACAATGGTGCCGGGTGAGCGTGTCTTAATCACTTCCTTGCCCGTGTTCTCTGGTGCTGAAAACGTTTTTCCTTGTTCCCATTCTCTCCCATATCTTAGTACAACTCTCTGGCTAGATACTAACTGATTTAAAAAAAAAAAAGATTCTGCATAAAAAGTGGGTGACTAATGGCACTGCTTTCTAAACAGAACATTTGGACCATAATTGAGCAAGCGCTTGATTTTGTGTGTGGCTCTTATCTCCAAATGCAGGCTTCTAACAGCCATCTACTCAATTATTTACACGGTTCAGTAATAGCCATGTATGGAAGCCCTCGATAGCCGTGCCTGGAAAAACGAGAGCAAAATGTTCACAGATGGCTGTTGTGGGTGACTTGGATAAACGTTTCCCTCCTTCTGGTCTTTCCAGTCTTCCTGTAATGCGCATGGCACATCCTGTGGAAGAAGAAAGGAATGACGACGACAGAACTGTAGAATCCGTGCTGCTCTGTGCTGTGACACAAGGACAGCAGGTCCGGGGGACACCGATTAGAGTCTCACGGTCCCCTCAGAAACCCCCCGGATCTTGACACGCCAGCACATTTTATCAATGGGACAATGACCCAGAGAAAAGTAAAATACATCGGGGGGGCGGGGGGGAACAACCGTGCCGCTTCACAGTTACGTAGAGATGGGTCTCATCTAGAATTTGCACCGAGTAAACCACGGCTGTGTGTGTGTGTGAGAACAGCCACAGGACAGAAGCATTCTTCAAGGCAAGGTCAACAACTCCTGCGGCTCATTTGTCAAAAGACACATGTTCGCTGACTTCAGGAAACGCTGGTTCTGGGTGAAAAACAGAAAAGGCTATTCATTTCCCATCTCACTAGGAAAGGTCACGTTAAAACCCACGAGCCAGAAGGAGCAGACACGTGTAAACAAGAGACCCAACTGTCTTCCTCTCCCATTGATTTCTGCTGTTTATCCTATGAGTAACTCTCGGATTCCCCAAAGCCCTCAATTCATTTCTGAATCTCCCAGCAAGTGAAATGAATCTCGTGGTTAGCCACCAGGTTAAGAAACTAAAGGTTGATTGCTCTTTGGGCTGAGGAGGGAGGGGGGCTTGATTGGGGGAGGGGGAGGGATATGGGAGGCGGCGGTGGGGAAGAGACAGAAATCTTTAATAAATAAATATATAAATTAATTTAAAAAAGAAACTAAAGGTTGGAGTTGGAGCAATGGTTCAGTGGTCAAGGGTGCTTACTCCTCTCCCAGAGGACCCCCACTGGATTCCCGGAACCCACATGGAGAGGCGCGTAACTACCTGCAACTCCAGTCCCAGAGATTCCATTCCCTCTTCTGAATTCCAAGAGGATGCCCTCTTATGGCTTCTGTGTGCCACCGCACATACATGGTGGGCACACCGATACCACACCGACACACATATATGCACATGAATAAAAAAAGTTAAACTAAATCTTTCTGTTGTTGTTTTGTTTTCCAAGACAGGGTTTCTCTGTATAGCTTTGGAGCCTGTCCTGTCATTCTGTAGACCAGACTGCCTTGAATTCACAGAGATCTGCCTGCCTCTGCCTCCTGAGTGCTGGGATTAACAATGTGTGCCATCACCACCTGGTTAAACTACATCTTAAAAAAAGAAATAGATTGTTTCCTTTTCCTTCTTCTTTTTTTAAAATACAGAAAAAGGGTGTGAGACCCCTCCCCCCCCCAAAACAGAAGCTTTAAAACTGGACACCTGCTGTGTGACGATTACTGTAAAATTGTCATAAGGTGGTCAAGACACAATCCTCTCCCTTCGTGAACATTTCCTTCCAACAGGGCAACAGTCTGGTGGGACACCTGGAGAGCTGCAGGGAGACCATGCCCAGGTGAGCTTGGACACATCTGGGTTCCGAGCCTTTCCTGGCTCAGAAGCTTGGGGCCGCTTCCCACTCAGGATCTGGCTAGTGACTGTTGTGAACAGAGTTAAGACTCTGCTCTTCGTGGGTCTACCACGAGGAGCAAATGAGATGCTAGGTGAGGAAAAACTCAGAAAGCAGTTTATCAAGAGCTGGGGAGACCAAGGGCTTTGTTGTAGAGTGATTGCCTTGCAAGCATGAAACCTGAGTTGGATCCCCAAAACCGACTTAAACAGGCGAGGTATGGCACACACACCTCTAATCCCAGAACACGGGGAGCAAAGGCAGCCAGATCTCTGTATAGCAAGTTCCAGGCTATCCAAGTCTATGTTGTGAGCACCTGTCTAAAAAAAAAAAAAAAAAAAAAAAAAAAAAAAAAACCAGAAGAGCAACAAGAAGACTGGATGTGGTGGTCCCAAAGCTGAGGAGAGAAAGGTAAATCTCTGGGGCTCACAGGCCAGACAGTCTATGAAAACCAGTGAGAGAGAACATCTCAAAAACACAAGGTGGATAGGACCTGAGGAACAATATTTGAAGTCGCCTGCTAGCCTCCACATGCACACACATGCACCCACCCACCCACATGTGTCTACACTCACGCCACACACACACACACACGAGAAAGAGACAGACAGAGACATTACCAAACAATACAAACAAAAGATGCTGCCATCACAAATGTCAATGTCTTCATTTTTTAGACTCTTTAGAAACATTGCTGAAGGGTCTTAATTTTTCTTCTGACTGCCGTCTTCCGTTCCACGCGCATCTGAATGGAAGACAGCTGAGCGCCATGAAGAAGGAAGGGGATAAATGACATTTTACCTGAGACCGTTTTCCCTCCTGAGCAGTGTACGTGAAACAGCTTGTCGTTGGCCCTCGGCGTCTCTTTTTTGAACATGCCTTTCATTTCAAGAGAGAAGGAATTTGCACATCATCTGCCTGGGTCCCCGGAGAAACTTCAACAGGGTGGTTTGAGGAAGAAATTTTTTGTGTCATTTTCTTCTTAATGTCTCCTTCTGAAAACTAAAAGGATTTGGTTCAAGGACATATCACTGAAGTATTGACTGTTTACACAACTCAAAAAAGATTTTTGGGAAGGTGAGTAGACTTTTATTTCTTCAGTGGTTTATTGAAATTCCACACTCTATGTCACTTTGCTCAAATCTACAAGTTTGGTTGTTTTCTCCTGATGCTTTAGATTTGCTTTTTCTTCAATAAAATTAAGGACTAGGCTATATTACGGCAATTTCATTTCAACTTTCACCTTTCGGTTTCTAATTTTTTTTTTTGAGACAGTGTCTCTCTACATAGTCCTGACTGACCTGGAACACACTCTGTAGACCATTCTGACCTCAAACTCAGAAATCCCCCTGCCTCTGCCTCCTAAGTGCTAGGATTATAGGCCTGTGCCTGTATGCCCAACTTCAACTTTTGTTTCAATTATTATAGGTCTTTGTTCCTTGAATGGTTCATTCTTTATTTGAACCAACCAAGTGACATGGTATCATAAAGGAATAGATGGATCTCCATGGCTTTCACTGAATGGTGGTCCCGTCTTCTCCATCTTCAGTTACCACAGTCAACCATGGTCTGGAAATACTAAGCAGAACCCAGAAATAAGTAATGCATTATGTTTTAAAGCACTGTGAGAGCTTAAGAAACCTCACGCCATTCTTTTCCCTCCCACCTGGGATGTGAGTGATCTCTTTGTTCAACATTTGCATGCTGTATATACTACTTGACTGTCAATCACCTACCAGCTGGCTGGCTACCATATTGGCTGATCACGAGGCAGTGTCTATAGTCAAGCAACCCTGATTTTATCAGACCCGAAACACAAGAGCAGGGGTACAAAGGAGGCACCAGAGAGTGAAACCTATAAGGATGATGAGCCACTGTGGAGCAATGGTGGACATCCAGAGAAGGCCAAAACCAGAGAGTGATGCTGTGTGCTATCTCAGGCATCCGCTGGAGAGCTCAGAACAGATCGCCCAATGGTACGGAAGACGACTGCATTCTTAGCAGGGGATTCCAGATCCAGCCTTTGATGCTCATCTCTCCTCTTCATGGTCCTGACATTATAGAGCAGAAAAGTCCCCGTGATCATTATCACTGCTACATCCCCCATCATGGCACACAGTTTCCCACACCTCTGTATCAACTTTATGTTCTCTGCCTATACCCTACCCCACCACATTCAACCTTCAAAATCCGTTAGCCGGGCGAGGAGTAAGCACAAATGCCTTCCCCAGTGGGTCTCTGTCCTTTCACCGGTGCCATCATCACTCTCCCTTGGTAATCCTCCTTGCCTTCTGCCTCATTTAATCTATTTCTTTGTGGGTACAGTGGAGTGTCCTCCTGAAGGTGTAGCCTGTGTCTTCCCCATGCTAAGCAGATAGCATCCTGGAGGCCGCTTTGCTTTGCCTCAGAGGTGACTCACTCCTTACACAGAGAAACTTTTCCATCAGCGGTGAAGGAAAGTTATTACTTTGAGTGAGTGGGGTCAAAGGCATTATACATTCGAGAAATGTGTTAAAGGGGAGCAGGGAGTAGATGGAGAGAGTGATAAGAAGCCCTGGTGTTTCCGGGGTTCAAGTCTCTAGAAGCCCGTCGGGGGGGCACTGATGATCCTGAACCTGCCCGGTGCAGGTCGGAGTAGAGAGTCACAGGGACACAACCAACTGGCCAGTCCCTTGAGGCTGCCAGACACACCAATGAGAATGAGCTAGAGGAGCTAACTTTGGGGAAGGGAGTGAGCTGGATCTACCCTCCCCAAAGGAGCTAGTCTGGCCCGTGCCCATGTTCAACAGTGGCACCATGTGGCAGCAAGGAGTAACCGCAGGGCAAGGACAGGGGCAGCCAAGGGACACCCTGTAGGCAGTAGACAGCAGGCGGATCTTTACTGGGGAAGCTGTGGATGGTTCTGCAGCGAGAAAAAGAATTCTTTAGAGAGTTGATGCTGGCCTTCTGATGAAGCCAATGGGAGGTGGAGAGAAAAATCAAGGGGGGACAGAATTAAATCAGAGAGATTAACTGAATATGGAAAAGTATTAAATCTATGGTGTTGACGGCTCCTGAAGGACAGAGCCCATTTTCGTCTTGGTGCTTGGGGTGCATCAAGACTTCTGACTGAATTGCATTAAGTGAAAAAAGGTGTTTACTCTGCATTTATTTGAAGACAATGGACCCTAGAGGGGAAAGGGAAAGACTGAACCACTTTCAGCAAGAGCTGGCCCCAAACATCATCCACTTGACTTGAAACATGGATGGCTGTTTTTCTTCTTTGAATGTGCACACACATCAAAATGTTAGCTAGTTGGCTTACGTGGTCATTTCCCATGAAGGGCTAGGATCTAACCTTGTTGCATCCTTTGGTGTTTGCTCGGGATGGAATTGCTATCTTCTGAAAACCTCCTTGTAGGTCATCCCTAACCTGCTACGAGCTCCGAAGCACTTACTCGGTCAGACCACCTTCAGTCTGGTCCTCAGCACCTTTTGGCCTTCACCCTGGCATCCAACTCAGTAGTAGCATTCCTCTCTTCATATACTATGGGAATACAACAGCGTGCAAATCCATATCCTTCCTAAAAGGTATTTTTCACTCCGGATGGCATAGTTTTAGATCATAATCCCCCCTTTCCTGCATTTTGTACACTTGAGCATCGACTGATGGCCTCGGTCTCAGGCAAAACCATTTTCTAGAAGATGTGAGGAGTGGGGCTTGGATATAGAATGTATCACCATCCCCTCTTGCATGATAAATAGCTGTTATGGTCATTTATCGTTCCCACATTCCAAGGTCTAAAACTGCTTTACAGATGTTCTGTAGCCCGGCTTCCTAACATCTGTGCAAGCAAGCCTGGGCGCACAGTTACCAGCTCCATTTTGCAGATGAGAATAGTTATGGGAGGCCCAAGGGGCAGTGACTTGACATTTTTAGGGCGTTGTGATTATACTTTATTGCCCTTTTCTCCTGGCACGCGGGAGCAGAGGTAAGCACGGTGTCAGCGTCCGGCACAAGTCATTCTATAAAGTCAGAAAGCACTGGAAACAGTACCCAGGAGTTAAGGATTTCCTAGATCAAGTTGCGTTCATTATTTTCCTGACTGAAGG